TCTGAAATTCAATAATAATTAACATTGACCCAGGGCTTGTACAGACCATCCTTTGTGCATGTTGAAATTATTCTACCCTTGCTCATACCCTGGTATTCCAGTTTGTATACACCACACCATTTACAGAAAACACATTTTTTTTTCTAAAATRATGAAATCAGAAACGATTGAGGCCATTTCTTATTATGTGTGATAATGTAAAGTCAGGTGTCTTCAGTGCTGTGAGCCCAGCTGTGCAGGCATGGGAAAAAGAATGGAAATCAYAGGGAATAAATTTAGAGCACCTGCGCACATCTCTGTGACTGGCTCGATGGCAACAAGTGCTAATGTCACRTGAGTTCAATATCGTGCAGGATAAGTAACCCAGCAGTCATTAAATACTCTGAATGAATTAGAGCATTCCTGGACTGGCATTTTCTGAAGCCCTCTCTGCAAGAATAAGTGGCATTGTGGCTTTTGAAAATCACAACTTTAAAGCCTCTTAYTTCAGTCTTAGGTCAAAATAAACTAGACTTTCCTTTTCTAATATTAATAATTCARGATTAACTGAAATCCAAGGTAAATTGACATAAGTGATCCTAATACTGAAAAATGGGTACTCCTGCAAGGAGATTCATGACCATGTCTRAATCATTTATAAAAGGAGTTTGGTTGTAGTGTTGCACTGTTTTGTGTCACTGAGACATCGAWGACTGAAAGTGAGGCCAAATGAGACCAGAACTGCACAGCTGCTGAGAAGACTGAAAATGCAAGTGGTCCCACAGTGGGATTTTCAGGAATGCCTATGCAAATGAGGATACAAAAAAAATCTTTATAAAAATGGCTTTTTTCCCTCCAGCATGAAAGTTGGCTAACAAAAGGAGAGGCTACCACTATATGTGGAACATATGAATAGAGAGAAAACCCAGTCTATCTCCCAATGAAAGCAAGTCACTCACTTCAGGGTTGTTTTTACTGAAGCTTTAAATATCCCTAGTAACAGGACTTTCACAGTACTTCTCTCAAAGAGACGCCTCTTCAGTTTAGTATGATTACCACTGGGACACTCTTACAGGCAAACTGTTTTCTTCTTGGTTTCATTTCATTTTGTTTGGCCAGGAATCAAYCTGATTACAGTCCCAGGAGCAGGTTGAAACTATGTGCTTCTTAAAAYCTGAATCTGATCTCTTGCCATTGAACCTAAATTAGCAGCTGGACTGAAGATGCTTTTTCTTTCAACCTGTAGGGACCTCAAGCTGCTGGGGTAACCCTGCAGCAGAACTGAAAAGGCTTAAAAAGCACAATTTTGTGTCTCTTACTCCACCCACCCTATTCTGTAATAACCACTAATATGTCCCATTACTTTGAAATGATCTTTACCCTTTTAAATTAAAGACAGGACTTTGAATTGAAGGAATCACCTTAATAATTACTTATGTGAACCATACTCTCCTTCATGGTGAAGCAACATGCAGCATACACCAAATGGGGGACTATATATCACTCTAAATAATTCCCTTCTAGAGGCTTATAGCTTTTGAAAATAACACATTTCTCCACCTCCTTAGCTGTCATTCAGTCAAGTCTCACAGATGAAGCTTTTAAAATCTATGGTCATTGTTCACCCCCTTCTTCTGGCTGCCTTCCCTGGTCCCCCATTCATGTTATTCTTTGGAACTGCTCTTCCTTTTRGTTGTGTGGATTCAAAAGCCAAGGTCAAAGGGAGCTTTCAGGGCATGTCTACACTGCGTGATGCAGTGTTACCCTGAGACTCTGAAGGAGCGAGAGTTGGCACTGCCTTGGAGAGACAAAGGTGTCATTTGGATGAAAGCATCCCATCTTGACTTGGACACTTAGAGGGAGATTCACATGTACTTCTTCCCTTAATTTTGGCTTCTGATTCTCATTAATTCTCTGGCCGAAGTTTGTGCCTTTATTTGCCTCTCATTCTCTTTGGCTTTTTCATTGCTGTGGGCTTGTCTTTTCTTCCTTCTGTGCTATGACATCATTTACTTCACTGTTTGAAGTGAAAACAGCCAAAATGGCGAGGCAAGGGATGCTGGAATATGATTTTCAGAACCAAACAATTTGCTGAAGAATTTCAGGTCCAACTTTTMAATATATTTAAAGGCTTCTGATTTGAAAGACAGTGGTGTTGGGAACTGACACACCCTGAAAATTTGGGTTTTGACTTATGGCCTTTCTAGGTAATGGCCCTTCTCAGATTAATTCAGAGGAAACACAGATGTGAGTGTACAGTGGACTCACCACGAAGTCTATATGTTTGGGGAACATATTAAGGATGTTTTGTGTATGTGCCAAAAGGGGTTTGCAATAAGCTGGAGCATACAGTCCCCGTGGTGCTGGGCATGAAGAGAGCTGGCTCTGCCTTTGGCTGCAGCTGATGGTGAACTCAGGAAAATGGCCTGAACCTCACTGACTGCACCAACACATCTCYTCTGCTGCCAGCCTGCTCCTACTCCAGGTGGGTGTCTGGGAAGGCTTTCCTCGTCAGGGCTCCCTAGCACAGGGAGGTTCCCTAAAAAGGCCTTGTCAGTGGGAAGAAAATAAGCTTCTAAAACACTTCTGAAGCGTGATTTGTCTGACCTAGTTTAGGCTCCTGCTTTAGGATGATCTGAGTCACACCCTCAAAGTTCCTGTTTCCCTTCGATGTCACCAAAGGGAGACCCGGGTGAAGCTCTCAGGCACGTGTGACCAGGGGACTCCCATCTCCCAAGGGCACAGGGACCAGCCCTGTGGGTTGGCAAGTGCCCCAAAGCTCATGACACACTCTCTTCCTCATGGAGATGAKCCTCCAGCAACCCCAGGGGCCGGGGCAGAGGCTCCTAAGTCCCTTAGGCAGGATTCAAAATGCCATTGCTCTACTCCTCAGTGCCTTGGCATGGTGTCACCAGCACTGACATATGTCACAGAGATCACTTCCTCACTTGTGATGTCCACTGCTTTCTACTACTCCACTTTTTACTCCTCTTCTTTTATGATTGCACAGTTTGCCTTCTTTTTCTCTGCATACATTTTCTGAAGCGGAATCTGATTTTCGTTACTTAATCCTTTGGTCTACTTCTGTGTCAGCTGGTACTTGCAACTCTTCCCAGTTTAGTGTCTTCTCTGAATGTCATTACCATATCATTACTTTCCTTTTCCAGTCTGTAACCCAGGATTAACACTGGTACCTTCTTGACCCCAAAAGGCACTTCCCTTAAATTGCATACAGATGCATATAGCTAGTTAGATTTTCTTTGAAATGCTGTTTGCTTTTCTTAAAATAAATGGTGTGCTGGGAACTGTAATGATACCATAGCAACAGGATATGATTATGTAGGAGTCTGTACTGAGGGGTATTCCAGAAACTATATCTAGATACGTATGCATTTATTTGTATAAGCATGCACACATGTGTGAATATTTGTGTTAATAATCTATTTAGATCTAATTAAAGAGCAAAGACTTTAATAATAACCTAAGACCTTTCTTTTTTTTTTCTCTTTTGCAGGCAGTTTTACATTAAATAAAAATTAGAGGTAACTTCATGGTGTGGCAGAGAAGCTGATGTAGTGACATTACTGCTAAATAGAGAGCAGCATTTGACTGTGCCTCCCAGACTCAGTAAGTGAAATAAGCTAAATTTGAATTTTGGTAGATGAAATCTTAAAAATCCAGCAGGCTTTTTTTTATTATTATTATTTTTTTTATTGTTAACACGCTCAACATCATCATACTTGGGTTTAACTGTTGTCTGGAATGTTTTTTCTCACAGTGACAGCTACAGCTATCCAGCTCATATATATTCTGAGCAAACACGCTGTTATAACTTTCCAGACGTGTGCCGGGAGCGAGTGCATGTGCGCATTAATGTTCACTGGGGCTCCTGCATGGCCAGAATCTCCTGTGCATGCAGACCCCTGCACTCCCCTTCCCACACGTGCACCGAGGTGCCTCTGTGTGTGAACACACACATCTGCCTCCCAACARTTCACAGCAATTTGCAGGCAGGGATCAATAGGGGCAGAAATTAGTTCGACACGGAAATTAATTGAGATCCATACGGAAGGGAAAGGGATGATTTCTGGAGGTTT